TTCCTGCTGGAATCATAAGGAAATTGCCTTTCTGCTTATTTCCCCAGCTGTGAAGCTGAGGGGGACAGAACTTCATGAGTTTCAAGTGCCAAGTCTGGTTTTGAGGTTGGGGTTTTGTTTTGTCCTCTGCTGTATCCCCTTAGGAAATTGTTCAACAGCCCAAACACATCCAGTCTGAAGGCATTACCTTAATATTCAGGCCCATATTTCTTCCTCAGACTAGGCAGTGAGATCACCTGGCTCTATCATCTTACAACACCCCCTCTGAGTACCCAGAAAAGTTGTGATTACCTCTGTTATAAAGGCTGATAGGCCTAAGCTTTTCTAAATTCACCCTATTTTCGTGGTGACAGCTGCATCTAAACCATAAGTCACTCCCATCTTCCTTGTGTGAACATCTTCCAAACATTGACAGACTGCTAGAGTTGCCCTATAAGCCTGGGCAATGCAGCTTTTCAATGTTTTCTGCCCAAATGGGCCCTCCAGCCCCCAGTTGTTCTCTGTTATTTTCTGAGCAATCTTTAGCTTCTTCAGAAACATATTGTTCCAAACACGGCCAGTTTGGGCACATTTTTTGAAGCCAGAAAACAGGGACAGCGAGCAGACTGTAACCAACTTCTTATGTGTGCAAAGATAAAAATCATCTTGGCCTTTCTCTAAGAGTCTGGAGTCTGCTTTGGCTCTGCTTTCACCCTGAGGACTTTGCTTCCTGTTCAAAGGCTTTTCTGTGGTGCGCTACTGTGTTTTGGGTGGAGGTAGGCATCAGCTATCCACCCCCTGCCACAGACCATTTTCCTACTGCTGCAGACAAATGCTTTCTCAGAGGGGACAGTAACCTGTGGCTTTCTCTGCTCTCTGTTTCAAGAGGTTTGCCCCAGTGAAAGCTGCCCCTTCTTAGAGCTGTCCTGCGGGTCCCACAGGCATGCTGCTCCTGCTCCACAAAGCAGCAATGTCATACCTTGGTCTCTTTGTATGTTGCCGAGAGCAGGTCACCTGCTCTGGTGTCTGTCTTTTTTTTTTTTTTTTTTTTTTTTTTTTTTTTTTTTTTTTTTAGAGCACTTTCCCAGGTATGAATTCTGCATCCTTGTGTTCAGCTGCAGGGAGTGTAAGCTGAAATGTTTTTTGCTGAATGTGCGCTGTGAGCAACCTGGGCTTACAACATTGTTTCTGTTCACAGGGCAAGTTCACCACAGCCAGTGATGTCTGGGCATTTGGGGTCACGCTCTGGGAGATGTTCATACTGTGTAAGGAGCAACCGTACAGCCTCCTCTCAGATGAGCAAGTCATCGAGAACACAGGAGAATTCTTCCGGAGCCAGGGCAGGCAGGTAAGAAAGCAAACGTGACCTCTCCTTCCCTCGCTTGACCTGGTCACATCCAAGTGGATCTCCCCAGGGTCTTTCTGCTGCCATTACATCATCTGCAGAAGTCTCTGCTTCTATTAATCATCTTCTCAAGCATGTCCTGCTTCTCTTCCCCTTCCTCCAGGCTTATTGGACTGGCTTTCCTCTCTTGGAGTCCCACGGGAAGAATCTCTTAGCCCTGTCCAGTGCTTCTTTCTTATAAGCCACTTCCATTTCAGTCTGCCTGTGATGCACTGTCCTCAGCTTTTCTGGGCTCTCAACAATCCTTTTTGCTCTTTTCCTTTTTCAGGTCTCTCCCATTAGCGTTTTCTCTGAAAAATGAGGAAGCACTTACTGAGGTGGGGAAGGAGTTGTTAGTGCCCAGGGATTAGATATTCCCTGTAATATCTCCACCCATGCCAAGAAGCCTTTGGCCATCTCCAGCTGCTGAAGAGCTTTTCTGTGGTGTTGTCTTCTCTTACTATCTCCCAGGCAGGGCTGTGCACTCCACTGCTGCTACCTTCAATAGATACCAGCAATGAATCTAGCACCTCAGCACTGAGGATCACTGTACCCCCAAAAGTGGAGTGCCAGTTGTTTGCTCTTCTCCCAAAATTTACCTTTAGCACCAAACAAGTTAAAGGATTAAGGGGAATAAAATAACAGGAGGTTTTATTCACTGTCTCCCAAATCCTGATGATTTAGTGAAAAGCCTAAAAGGTGTGTGTTGAAATGAGGGGCGGGGGGAAACTCTGACAAGCTGTGCTTTAGATAAGCTCTGAAAGGTGTTTTTTCTGTCTCTGCTAACAAGCTGTCACGATGCTTAGAAAGCCTCATGGGTTGTCTACGGTGAGTGAAAGTATTTGGATTTTATTGTGGTCAGTTTGGTTTTAGTTTGTGTTTTGCTGTCACTTGGGAGACTAATGATCATGATGGAAGACTAATCATGCTTCCTGGGGGACAAAGGACTGTTTTATGACCAGCTCATCAAACAAGTTGGCAAAGTGTCTGCAGTGCCATTTGAGGTGGCATCAAAGCTCCATCCAGACATCACTGCCAGATTCATGCTTAATGGATTTCAAACGCTGCATGGTGGCTGTGTCTTGTAAACCTGGAATGAAACTGTCCTTTTGGTTTTAATTTAGTAGAGGTTTGATTCCTTTATGAAAAGCCCACTGAAATAGCTGTATTTTTCTTTCTTTCAGATCTATCTCTCCCAGACTCCTCTGTGTCCTAACCCTGTGTTTGACCTGATGCTGAAATGTTGGAGCAGGGATATAAAAGATCGTCCCACTTTTGACATGATTCACCACTTCCTGCTGGAACAAATGGAATCAAACATTTGACTCCAGAAAAAGAGACAAACTGTTGAGAACAGAGTGACTTTGGAGTCTCTTTGCCTGTACCTCACGGGAAGATGGTCAGGCCACCTTGCTCTCCTCCCTTGACTGTTCCGTATTTAAGTTGAGATCTCCATGGCAGCTGCTCATTCTATTGGCCATGGTCTGACACGCAGGACCAGAGGATCTCATTTCGTTGAAAAATCATCTCCTCTTCTGAATCATTTCCTGGGAATACTGTGAGAGGGGTTTTATTTGATACCCATACACCTTTGGGCATAACGAATGAGTAAAACTTTACGAGGGACTCGGAGCTCTCTCCTGGGTGGAATAGAAAGCTACCAGTTGGCGAGAGTGCTACCACTCAAGAACAGATTTCTAGAAGTAAAGGACTTCAGTTTTCTAAAACTATTCCATTAAATCAAATGGAAGTCTTGTGCACATGAGCGAGTGTTTCTGTAAGCTCTTGCTACAGACAATATGTATAGTGAGAGATGAGAAATGTCTAGAGCTAGGGAATGGTTTAACAGACTTGAGAACTGATGGAGCTGGTTTAGCAACCCTTTGGAAATAATGCTACCAGGGTCTATGGAGGATGCTGATACAAGAGTCAAAGATCATGTTCTTTTTTCCTGTGGTTGTTAAGCACTGCTTTTGTTATATATGTGCATTTTCCCCACACTGGATTTTTTTCTAGAAAAAAAATTTTGAAAATGAATGTTAAAGGTCATAGGAAGGTCACTATGGTAGAAGATCTTCTTTTGACTGAGAAATTAAGGCTAGGGTAGGGAGTTTGTATTGAAAAGTAGCTGATACTGTACTACTGTCACTATGTAGATTTATTAGCCTAATGAACTTGTAGCCACAATGGACTGATGTGCAATTAATCCTGTATAAGTACCCATTAATATGAGATCTCTAAGTCAATGCTGTTACATGTGCAGAGGGAACTTAGATTTGGTGAAACCGAATAGCTGAGAGCAGAACCTGCGATGTCACTTGTCATAGCTCATACAAGAGGGAAAGGAGCAGAGTACAGGTCGTCCCCTAGCACACGCATGTGCATGTGCACTCAGATACCTATTTCTAGCACCAGCAGTTCCCTTTCAGGCCTGCAGCAGGGTTAGGGCTATTGGCTGGGCAGATGCACTTTGGTCCAGACTCCTTTATTGCCGTGATCAAATCTGGCATTTGGAGATGGGACTGACACATCCCCTTAGTTTGGGTTTGCGTTTTATTTTGGCCGGTCCCTGCACAATGTAAGACAATTTACTCATTGAACTTGGGGTTGGTTTTTGTTTGTTGTGTCACAAGCGGCTTATTCTCTGGAGGGTTTTAGAGGGCTCTGAAATCCATTTGGAGTGAGTTGGAGAATTCAGCTTATTTGTACAATAAATCCACTGTGGATTTACCAGGTGCCTAGGGAACACTCTGCTCTTCCCTCTCAAATCGTTTAGCAAGATACTTAGGACCAAACCAAATATTTCATAAGCTGGGAGAAGATGAAAGCTCAGCACTTGACTTTTTTTAAACAGCATCCAGCATAGCATATAGTTCCATTAAAGATTATGATTTTTATCTTAGCCACAAGCGTAGTGTGAACGGCTGCGAGCTCTGTACGAGGGCACTGCTGAGAGAGGGAGTGTCAAAACAGTTATAATACGAGGATGATTATGACTCTTATGTTGAAAGAAAAAAAAACAAACCTGCTTCTGAATTGGCAGAGACCAGGACAGAGCGTGGTGTGGCTGTGTCCACTCCCCAGGCAGAGCAAACTCCGTCGTGAAGTTTCCCATTGCAGCTCACTCGATGGGACCATGCCCAGGCTGCCCCATGGCGTGGGGTTCCCCTGGCTGTGTGTAGGCGTCTCCATCCGAGCTGGTCCTCTGTGCCCCCCTTTACGTGATAAGGAGCCGGAAGGTACAAGTCATCTCATGTCCCTGTGGGGGCTACATGGGCTCAGGTGAATCTCACCCCCAAATAGGTATCTTCGGGTTTTTTCTCCTTTGACTGGAGGGGCCCAGGTTGAGCTGCTGTTACACGTGTGCACTTGGTTGGAGCTGGGCGATGGGAGTCAAAGCCAGCATGGTTCCTGCTGCAGCCTGTTGGGCACTGGTGGCTGGCAAGCCACGCATCGACTGTATTTCTGTCCCATCACAGAAATGTACCCAAGTAATACACAGCTGTGTGTGATCTCCTGTACTTCAGTGTTTCCAGATACCAGAGCACTGTAATGTCACCTGGATGGGCTTTGTACTTCTGTTACATCAGGACGTGCTGTTCCTCCGTTGACATGTTGACATACGAAGTTTCTCTCATGTCAATAAATTCTAATGATAACCTTGACAAAAGCGAATTTCTACTTTTTTTTTTTACCCAGGTGTCTGCACTGAGGACTGATATTTTGGTCTGATTATTCAGTTGCTCTTTAAGTCTGTGGCCCCCAGGTTTGGAAGGAGCAGCCACTGGCCATTTAAAGGAGTGAGCTGTGAAGGGAGTTTCTGAAAATGCTGGGAAGATGCTGGCCTGAGCCCCCTCAGGGGCCAAGGAGGATGGGACCTGGAACAGCCTGGGATCATTGTTCCGTGCCGTGAATATGGTGGTGCATTTCAGTAAGCAATTTTTTTCATGTTCATATTAAATTCAGAGGAAGATCTAGGCTGGGAGGGACCTTTGTCGGTCTCTAATCCAATAGTCCACTAAAAGCTGAGCTGACTTCAAAGCTGCGTTGGGGTGCTCTGGGTGTTCCCCAGGTGAGCTTTGAAGATCTCCAAGAACAGAGATGCCCCCATGTGCCAAAGCTTGTGCCTCTCCCCTTGTGTCCAGTGGGCTGTCCCCTTGCTGCTTCTTGTCCCTGTTACCTCTTGGTCTTCCACCACGCACCTCTGAGAAAAGTCGTCATACACCTCTTGGACACATCCACGCTGCAGACCTGGGGCTGCTGAAGAGGTCTGCCTCTGGTTAGAGCTCAGGTATTTGGGCAAACTCAAATTTATCTATAAAGGCTGGAAATTCCAGATCTCCAAAAGTGTTTAGGCACCAAGGGCAAGAGTCAAAGCAGTATTTTAATCTCCTCAGATACAATCGTGGGTGGAGTATAGGCACCTAAACAGGTGAGAACAACCCTCGAACACTATGATTTTGGGTTAGTGGCTTTGAAACCTTAAAATGGTTCTGCCAGCCATTTAGCTGAGCTCCTGCAGGCCATAGCAGGACTTTGGCAGTGAAGCAGGCTTGCTGCTGGTATTGTAGTTGGTGGGAACGACGCTGGTGCTGACAGCCGTAGTGCTCTTTGACTTGAGAGCACACTGGCTGTGGTGGCTGTCAGTAAGCAGGAGACCCCTGTCCTGGTCCTGCCTTCAGCTGGAGGGGGGTGAAACCCACTGCACGCAAGACAACATGACCATACGATGTTGGGAATGGGAACAACCTTCATCCTGCGTGAAGCAAGGCAGCGAAGGATTGCATCCTCAGACAGCCCGGGAGGGCAACAAGGAGCAGGGAGAGGAGGGTTGGGCCTTGAACCACAGTGTGGGGAACCCCTGAACCTCTGCCTCGGCGTTTGCTCGACAGAAAAGTGTGCGTGGGGCCGTGTGTGTGCAGGCAGCGCTGGTCTGGCCATGCGTGTGCTGCACTAGTCACCGGAGCATGTGCAGCCAGGCGCTTCCCGAGTTGTGAGTGTTGGATGTGAACTGTGCCATGAACGTGTATTTTTGCTGGGGCTGCTTATGTGGAACATCTGGTGCTACTGTCCCGAGGGCTACGAGCCTTCAGGAAATCTGACAAATGCTATAAAATCTCCATGCTCATCCAAAATTTGCAGGTGGGGGAAAAAAAAGATGTTTCCAGAAAAACCTGACAAGCTGTGTGCTGCAGCTGGAAGCACTGTCGGGTACAGACATCACTCCCGGCAGCATCACAGAGGTTTCCCAGGCGACAGCATCGTGCCGCATCCTGCATCGCCATCCTCCCACACCCGCCACCCAGAGCTGCTGCATTGCCATGGCAGCCCCGAAGGAAAATAGCCTCTTCCCTCCCAGTCCCTACTATATCCCTGGGTAAGTTCTGAAGTTCATCCAAAGCGTCTGTTCATTTCCAATGCAAATAGCTCCCGCTGTGATCACGTAGTATTTATGATTCATGATATTTTGGTTGTTTTAAAGACACCATTAAATATTCCATGTAACAGTGCTCCAAAGGAGACAAGGCTCTGGGATAAGAAGCACCACCTTATAACAGGGCTTAATTAAAGACCATGCCATAGCACATTGAGAGCAAAGTAAAAATTGTTCTTCCCCTGCCCCCCCCGCCCCCCTTTTTTTAATTTGTTTTAAGCTGCCCAATGTTACCAGGGCTGCTGTGCAGGGTTTGGCTTCCAAACTGCCATAACTTTTGCATCAAGGATGTCTGAAGATCTCCTTTGAATAAATAGTTGCACAGGCACGATACGCTCCTGTCAAATTGGTTGGAGCGCAGTCCTGCTGCCGGGGCCGAGCACTTTGAAGAAGTCAGCGACTCTCTGGATGCTGGTGATCTGGTTCATATGTAGTTAGACTTTTTTTTTCCAAAGCTTTTTTTGCAATGTCCTCCTCTAAAAGCTTGGAAGGAAGTAACCAAGCTACCATGGGCGAGAGGTAACAAGTTATTGGTTGAAAGGCAAAACAGGAATGGCAGAAATAAGTGGATAGGCTTCGTGGTGAAGTAGAGAATTTGTGCACCGGGTCCCTGGTGACCTGTGCTGGAAGACGTGGTCTGTGATGTATAAATGGGCTGGGAAGGGCTGGACGGCCACCGAGGGAGAACAAGCTTCTGTTGGTACAAGATCACTTGGATTAGTCCAGCCTGAGGGTAGCTCCGGAGGGCGTCAGGGCGACCTCCCAGGGCGGAGGGGCTGGTGACAGCCCAGGCCCCAAACCTCAGCGCGGAGAAAAGCCGACGGCGTCCTGCAGGGCCGTGGTGCAGCACAGGTACGGGCAGGAGGCAGGCAGAGCCCAAGCTGCACAGGC